CGGTTGATAGGTTGATTGGCTCGTTTCTCACTTGCCATGCTGCTATAATGTTAAGCCGAGCCGAACGGATTTCTATTATTAATTGCAATATCAATTTATTATTAATTAGTATCCGTCTAAATGAGTATTTATTAACGTTTGCCATTAATTATAGTACACAGGTGGTTGGTACTTGCCAACCTGCATGATGCCTCATTTCTAACGGTAGCCAGACATTTAATGCAGGCTGACTTTCGATTCTCTTAACTTCTTTCTTCGTCGTTTCTGCCAGAACCAAAACAGAACGTCTGCCGTCAGATGTTCGATGTTCGAGTGAGGCAGCCGCTTCCATAGTCGAATATTCTGCGATATTCAAAATGTCGCGCATATCTTCCAAACACGTTAGATATGATTATAGGGAAGTTTTATTAATACACAAATGCCATAGTGGACCGATTGAACGGGTTTGTAGTGATGATGAAAGAGCTGAGGATGACGCAAGGACATCTGACTTAAGGGTCAGCTCGTACACTTCCTCTTCTGTGCTCCAGAATGCTGAATATTGGTGAAAGCGGAAAACGTGCAATTCCTTTGAAGGCGGCTAACGTCAAACAGCTTTGAAATATCCTTACTTGTGAGAGGCTTCGAATTCGCATCGCAGTTTTGCGCTGCTGAGGCATTTCCTGATCAAAAATTCATAAAAGGAGTTGCCAAGACGAAATTTTCATCTTTTTAAGCTCTTTACCCTATGAACACTCGATGGCGCCTCAATTTACTTAACATAATTATTAGTTATCCTTTCTTTGAATAATGGAATAACCTCAAACTTAACCTATTCAGGTGAATGATCGAGTTTATTCAAGTTGTGCAATTGGTTTGAATCTGGTATTGCATTTCTCTGAACTGGTAGCTTTTAGTTGATTGGATTCATTGTACTTATCTCGGGTATGTTCATCTACAACGATATCGTATTTCGTCCAATCATCGAGAAGACCATGAAGCGTTTCAATCGTTCGACGAAAGTGTAACGTATTTGTGAACAGTTATTGCTTTCTAGAAAATTTGTACTCTTGCTTATTGCTTAAGAAGAAGTATTTGCTGTGGAATTATTTTCCTCGTATAAAACTTCCTCAATTTCATTATCAGCAATTTCCACAACTTAACAGGGTTAAATGACATTGTGCATAAAGACCCTCTTATGTCTGTATTAATGCACGGCGGCGTGACTTAGCCCAAGCGTTCGAACATGATGAATCAATCATTATGCAGCAAGCAATAAGGAACAACAACTCCACCTTTCACATACTAATTACTCACTATGCTTAATTCTACACATCCTTAAAATAAGATCATAATTTCTCCAAAACCTCTTCTCACGGAATATTGCGCTACCCCATGTCATAGTTGCGTAGGAAGAGCATTTAATCAAACCGCGGTTGCATGCCGCTTGAACACTTCTACAACACATGCGCATAGATTTCTTCAGTTTTTTGGCCGTGGAAACACCCTCCTTGCCACGAATAACGTTTCATGCGTGCCTCGCATAAAGTTCATTCGTCTGGGTATGCTAATACGTAAAGACAGATTTAGCGATGCACCGTGCTACACTCTCAACAGAGGTAAACAGAACTCTCATATTCTTTGAATGTCACGTGCAGGCTTATTTTCCCTGCTGAACATGTTAGGTAAATCTGATTCAAATTTGGTTCTTTGCTAAGAAGGCAGACGCAGGTTTTCATTACTTAATGCTACTGCTATTATTCTTATGGGGGTTCCAATGGTGCCAGCAGAATTAGTTCTTTACATTTTGACAACTTATGCCTCAGGACTCATAAGGGTGAGTCATTTTTCTGAGGGAAAACCAAATGCAGCTAATGGCGTCCGCAAGTTGTGGATGGTTGAACAACTGTAACTTATGTGACTTATTTGTGAAATGTTGCGAACAGTAAGACGACAGTTTCAGAGGCACGGTCAATCAACTATTAACGAGATTATGGTTAGCAAAAGATATACAAGACCTGGCGACAGCCCTCTGACCCGCTGACGGGGCAAATACTTTTTGGCGAAACCCGAAAGGGCAACTTCGAGAAAAATTCCGCTCGAAACTCTATATGCACAACATATGAAGCTGTTTTCTGATGCCAGTCTCTCTTTCGATTGACTCATCAAGCTACAAAGTGTGAAGTACCGACATTTCGGATGTTTTCAATACCAGCTGATGGTTTAGAAAATCTTCAATCAGCTGAGAACAGAACAAATTATAAATGTGTCTGTTGTATATTGCAATTCATCTGTTGTATTTCATGTTGCTGTGATTCAGCAGGTTGGGTAACCTTCTCAAAATTTTATGTAACTTTATGTGTTCTTTTGGTTTCAGCATTGTTATTCAATTATTATGAATTAAATGCTTGTTTCAATCTGTGTTGAAAATTGTGATTTGTTGTCACTCTTGCTGGAAAAATGAACCTGCAGATCATCGAGGTAGAATATGAATACGCTATGGCGAAATACGCCGCCTAAAGTTACTGACGCAGTTCATGGCCACTTTCGAGACTGTGCTTTTCAATCGCCGTGTCTACGTGTAAGCTTCATAGATAACGCTAGCATGAACTTAACACGCCGAACCGAACAGCATCTCAACAAAAAGCCTTTGCTACTGTGTTTATTTTGTAGACACAAAATATTCTGGCTCAGTAAATTTTCGATAACTGCATTTTCTGCACAGTGCACCAGGTCAAAATGTGACCATCATCATCAATCATCGCGTTGTAAAATTTTAGACGACCAAAAGTTAATAATAGGATATTATGCATTATTCAAACGGCTGACAGTATGATATAGATCGTGGCTGATTCTCTCTAGTCCTCACGGCATTAATGGTATTGATTTCTGTTCACTATGCTGTGCCATCGTCATCTGTTGACAACAATCACTCAAACAGTTCAACTGTAGGTGCCATCATCTTATCTTATTAGGATCTCATCTTCCTTATGGGAGAGATGTTCGAATGGATTTACTGAGATATCACACTTTGGGATTGCAATCCTTCCTTTAAATTAATAATCAGAGTGTCCTTAATCCAGACAAATCTCATTTGAAAGAATTCACTCATGTAGTTGCGTTTGCCGCTGCATCGCTAGCTGAACTTCTAGCAACCAATAACAAGCCTTCACTCTTGTCGTAGATGACATCTGTGATGCACACTAGTGCAGTCTGCCCGGCATACGGCCGATTATCTCTTTCATAATCCATTCTCCAGTATTTGAACGGCAAGACTGGCTTCCTCTCTGCTTTCGTTCACGGTTTAAAAGCACAAGCGTTTTACTATATATTCCCACGTAGAGAATCGTTTCGACTCAGCTTATGTAGCATTTGTTTCCCCACGTTTTGTTCTATGACATATTTTGCTAGGAATTTATTCGTTTATCATAAAGGACAGTCAAACGACGTAGCGAGAGGAAACTTGCCTTAAAACAGAATTAGAGCTAACCATACATTGTTTTTACAATGAGCCCCCTACTGTTTTCAAATGGAACTAATTGTCAAAGTCTTCATGTTTTGCGTTGTCTGCCATGTGAATGATTTGGAAGTGATTTTCTTTCAAAGGCTCGCTTTCGATAAAGTATCTTCTTTTCCAACGATGAAAAATACATTGGAGAAATAATTGCTTCCTCTATAACGGCTTCCGCCAGATCAACATTGTTACGACTCAGCAAGGAAAACTCCACATTATTGAATTGTATTAATTCTTTCGAATGCTTCATATTACTTCAGTGAGTTTTA